GTGTGTGGAATTGGGTGTTGTAATTTGAAGGATGAGGTTTTAAGCTTGTGTTAGGTCTGTATGTGTTTATGTTTATGCATTTGGCAGACGCTTTTATCCAAAGCGACTTACAGAGTAGACACAATATTACATTTCTCATCACTATGACAATAAGCTATCCAGAGGAGAAACCCTGATCAGAGTCAGTGGTGAGATAGAGATAGAGGTAGAGGGACTACTGAAGGAGCTGTGGGGGGTAGAAGTACGGGTTAGGGTTAGGATAGGAGCTGTGGGGGGATAGAGGTATGGGTTAGGGTTAGGATAGGAGCTGTGGGGGGTAGAGGTACGGGTTAGGGTTAGGATAGGAGATGCTCTTTGAAGAGGGGGGTCTTAAAGAGTTTCTTGAAGACAGACAGGGACTGTTGGGTTTTTTGTGTTTAGAGGGGGCTTACCTTAGTTGGAGGGTCTTAGTTTGTGTGTATTTGAGTATGGAGGTTTGAATGTGTTAGTTTGTGTGATTTTTTGAGAAAAAAATTGTATTTTTGTGGTTGAAGTGTTAGTTGGTGTTGGATTGAGGTTTTTTTTAAGGTGATTTTTGTTTTCTTTAATGTTATTTTTGTGAAATAGAGTCGTTTCTGTGTGGAGTTGGCATGGCTAAGGTCCAGTGGGGTTATCCTGATTCATTTCTGCCTGTTAGGGTGTTTTGGTTAATGAAACAGGTATCGATAAACTGAGAACGGACTGAGAGAGGAGACCTACCTGGCCGTTTCGGTGATTTAAGCTGCAAGAGACAAGGTTTGGAAACATTTAGCATGAATGACTGAAACGGAACGGTGACCAGAAGGATTGTGTAAGGTTTCTGACCTTATTGAGGGTCCTTAGGTCTTCCATTATTTGCTCATCTGTTAACAGGTAATTAAGCTGAGGTTTGAGGAGTCAAGGGAAAACAACATTTTTTTTCTTAGGGGTACGAATTCATCTGTACAGGCTATGAGTTGACATGAAGGATATCTGGTGCAGGTTTTCTCCTCTTGTCTGGGATGGGAACCGGGTCGTTGGGCCGCCGCCTCAGCTTCCTCGTCATGATTGGTTTTACTTCCATGGAGTCTGTGGAGCAAAGAGCACAACACATATAAATAAAGGTTAAATAAATCAAATTAAAAAAAATATCACAATTCTACCAGACGAGGGAACCGTTGGGTTTTCAGGTTTGAATAGAAATGTTAAAAAAACGAAAAGAAAGGCTGCCTTTTTTGTGAAAAATATTTTCACTGAAAGAAATCCCCTTCAATCAGGTCTAAGAAATCTTTTAAGATCAACACATTGACACACTTCAGACATAAATGGCGCCTTTTACTAGTCAGAAAAATCTCAAAAACAAAAAAGTAAAAATAATTCTTCTTGTAAGGTAGTAGTTTAGGAACAATCCTAATTAATTGGGTTTATTGACTGTTTATTGACAGTAGTTGTTCACATAAAAACAACCGCCCACACAGGCAGTTCAGGAAAAGTTACTTTTCTCCAGAAAAAATACACAAACAAACAAAATAAAAATACTTCTTCTCTCTTTTGCTGAGTCATCCTCTGACTAATGAACTCTCTTACCGCCCGTCAGCTCCATCGTTAATTTCTCGTTCTCGATCATCTTCTTCTTCTCCTCCAGCTCTGCGATTAGGTTTTCCTTCAGTTCCACCTTTTTGTCATCGAACTCCTTCACCGCTGCCTTTTTCTCTTTTATGTAGTTCCTCTCCACCTGTTCTGTCTGTGGGAAAAGGCTCAGTCAGAGGAGGAAAACTAGCCCTGCCTGGCTATGATATTATTATCGTTATTATCATTTGACAGTGGGGGAAATAAGTATTTGACCCCTTGCTGATTTTGCAGGTTTGCCCACTTACAAAGAATGCAACGATCTATAACTTTAATCATATGTACATTCTAACAGTGAAAGACAGAATCCCAAAGAAAATTCCAGAAAATCACATCATATGAATTTATAAAAATTGATAACCATCTGATGAGGAAAAATAAGCATTCTTTGTAAGTGGGCAAACCTGCAAAATCAACAAGGGGTCAAATACTTATTTCCCCCACTGTATATTATAGAAACAGGCTAGAAAGGCGTGCTTACCTCGAGCTGAAGAAACAAATCTGTGAAGGGAAAAATAGAAAAAGGACAACGGGTTAATTTAATTTAACAAAAAGGCTCATAAATGCTCTCCAGTCCTGTTTATTACACGGCTGTAATGAGGAGTAGTAGAAGTAGTTTTGGCTGATTGTTCCCAACATTTTGGATAAAAGTGCTGGATGAAAATAAATAAGAGTGGTTTCCAAAAGCCCCCCAGGCTCATCAGATCTTTTTGATGTGAAAGTAGGACCATGAAGGCTTTTTACTGAAAATTAAAGTGTTCAAAATCAGGAATCATAAGGAAATTTATGAATTTGCACTGTTCAGTGATGAGACATTTTCAGTGTTCAGCAGCCGGTTGATTATCTATCTATCTATCTATCTATCTATCTATCTATCTATCTATCTATCTATCTATCTATCTATCTATCTATCT